GGGGGGGCTGAAAAAGGAATCGAAATGAGCAACGACAAGTAAGGGGGAAGGGAAAAACAAAGAGCATAAAAAAAGAAGAAAAAAGGACAGGAAGAAATTACGAAAAACAAATAGTTCAGGCAGACACAATGAGGCAGACACATGTAACTAGATTTTTGCAAGTAAAAAATATGCGCCTACGCCTAACTTGTCTTTATTTCATACTGTAGTCCTGTAAGCAGTTGTTCGAACCGTCAGAGATATTTGGAAATTTATCGACTGGCCTGCTTCATCTCCTGGTGCTACGTGTAGAAGCCAGTACAAAGAAGGGTCAAATCTTGAATAAAATCACGTGACGTGCACCGACGTGAAAAACAGGTAGTCTATATGTATAATATAGGGGGCTCTCGTGGTCTACAGGTTAAAGTGTTCGCTTCTCTTTCAATAGGTCGTGGGTTCGAAACCGGATAGCGACGGAAGATTTTGTTCTCTAAAATGTTCTCCTTTCACATCCTTTCCTGCCCTCTAACAATGTTCTGTCGTCTGCTTTCGACTCCACTTTCTACCCCAACCCCCTCACCTCCTTTGATCCCTCCTCTGGGTTCCTGACTATTTTTGCAGCCTTTCTACTAGTACTCTTTGACTCCTTATTACTGCTGTCTTTCAGCCACACCTCTAATCGTATGGTAGGAAAGATCAAGAGGTACACATGGCCTTCTCGGACAAGGGCTAGAAATCTCGGAAATCCAGGGAGCAAGTTGCGCACATTAAAGATCTCATGGTGGTCCAACATCGATAAGACTAAGGCATCGGCTGCCACCCAGGCAAAATTCAAAATTTCCTGCCAACTGAAAATGTTAAATAAGCGTATACAGGGGGGGGGGGGGGGGGGGGGGGGGGGGGGGGCAGTTCGTGGAGAAAATCAAACTGACATCGAAGCTTTAAACCCCAAAAAATTCTAAGTTTAATTACTAGAATTTATTAAGTAGTGGAAATTTTGACAGTATTTCTGAACAGAAAGCAGTGCTATAAATAGTGCCATTAAAAGGCACCAGTATAAGATATAGAGGAGGAAAGTTTGGGTGTTGTTTTGTTGTTGTTGTTTTTTGTTGTTATTTACAGTGATCCAAGGAGGTTGGGGCGTGGGGGAGGGGGGGGATGAGGTAAAAAATTCCCTACCGTTAATCTCATCCTTGGTGCCTTCTAGATCGCAGAACTTCAAGTCAATGCCCACAGCGGAGAAAGCATTTTTCACAGCATCTGTGTCCACGCCGATGTCGCCCGCTGCCCTGAGAACACCACAGGATCCATCCAAGAAGGAAGTTTGCTATTAAGATATGGAAACAGAAGGAAATGATCCTTTAACGACAAGTGACCTTCAACTTGTTTTTGAGTTGCGTTTTACGGAAGTATTTACGACGATGCTTAAACCTCGCCAAAAATAAAACATGACAAAATTAACGAGGCAAACAGTATTGATTTGGCCTGAGATGTTGCTGTTGATCCTGTCAGGCCCGCACACACTATGAACATTCCCCACTCGTCGCTCGGCTGCGAGTAGGCTAATGAGGCAATTTTCGTCCGTTCATCTCTCTTCATCGCCATTGAAGTCTGGCTTCACAGCTGCGCTACGAGTGGACATTTTACTAGTGTGCACGGATCCTTTATCAACCATCCACACACCACCAGTCCCTCAAAAGCGGGTTCTAATGAAGGAAACATGTTTAATCGAACCATTAGTATTGTACTTATGGAGGCGCCAGTTGTCTAGGTTTAGGTGCTGTTTTAGTATCTTTCTCCTCCGTTTTTTTTTTCTAGTTTTTTTCCTGTTACGTTTATCCATCATGTGTCAATGCTTTACCAACAATGAGCATATTAGTAGTCCACGCGGACACCTAGCTGAATTCGGACCTTGCACGAATACAAGAAGTCGAACTTTCGCTAGCAAGAGTTAGGATCGTTGCTAACTACACCAAAAAAGTATGCGATAGTATACTCTTGGTCTGATATCGTTCATATGCAAAAGAAAAACAATTTAACTGAGGATCTACATATTAAAATGTGCACCATGCAAGATTGCACAAAACTGGTCGAGAAAAACCTGTTTATTAAAAACTAAAAATACAGCTATTCAGGAAGGGAGAATCAAGGGATATGGGGGGTGAGAGGGAGAAAGAGAGA